ATGCCCGAAATCAACCGATCCAAATAAAAATCGAATCGATTAAAAACCGATTTTCTGAAATCGAAAATCAACTCGAATCGTATTTTAATTAACCCAAATCCGATTCGATTCGTGTAATGTTAAACCATATAAGAACCAAACCCGTTAACGAACCGAAAAAAAATCTAACCGAAAAAAAATCTAACCGAAAAAAAAACCCAAACCGTTTCTAACTTGAAATAATCCATCCCGAAACCGTTTGAACCAAAATAAAAACCGTTTACAACGAGCCGTTGGCAAACTGCAACCCATTTTGCACCGAACCATGTACATGCAAACCAAACAATTTACAAACTGAACCACTTACAAACCGATTCGTTTATAAACTAAACTGTTTTATGAACCGAACTGATTATAAATCAAACTGTTTATAGTCCACTTATTATAAATGAATGGTTGAAATCAAAATAAATTTTAAATGAAATCTAATTATGTGCACATGTTTCTTTATTATTTTCTCTCACTTTTACTTTATGTAATTATGGATTAAGCAAAAATAATCTGCATTTTCTCTTAAAACAACATCATCAAAGTGCTTCATATCTTGCTCGGAATTATATTGGACCAAAGCTGGCCTAATCAAAATTTTAGAATAGGATGGTTGTATCCTTTAATCTTTCAAATTAAAGATACAAAATTATAATAAAGAATATTATTAGTAAGTTTATCAATTATAATAAGTCAAATTTCAAACCAAAACCGTTTAATTGCCTCAAATAAAACCGATTAAAAAATCGAAAACAGACTCGATTTTTATTTTAGTAGACCCAAAACCGACCAAATTCGTTCCGAATCAAATAATGTTAAACCGTGTAAGAACCAAACCCATTAACGAACCAAACCTATTCTAAACCAACTTAAATTAAACTGAACCGAAAAAAACACTAAGCTATTTGAACTAGGATAAAAATTGTGTAAACCGACCCGTTAACAAACCGCAATCCGTCTACACTGAACCATTTACTACATGAACCATTTACAACCCAAACCAAATTAAAATCGCTCAAGAATAAACTGAAACCAAACCAAACCGATAATAATTTAAAACAAACCGAAACCGACCTATAAGGCATTTGAACCGATTTCAAACTGACTCGTTTCCAAACCAAACCGATTTAAAATCGAACCGAAACCGAACTGTCAAACCGTTTTGACAATACTATTCCCTCCATATCTATCTATACTACTCTCTCCGTTTTTTATTGGTTACATTTTGACTTAGTTTTCTCGTTTTTCAATACACTTGTCGACCATTAATGTCTTTTAGCATACTTGAAAATTTATAACGACTAAATAATAAAAATAAAGTATTTATTGAAATGAAGTAAACAAAACCAAACCTCATATGACTATATTATGTTGTACACAAAGTTTCATATACGGCTGGCTACTCCGTACAGCCAGCCATAATTTATTTTTAAATTCTTTTTCTCTCTCCTCTTTTCTTCTCCCATTAGCATTTTCTACAGCAATACCTTGTCGACGTTCATACTTTTTGGCAACTCTTCAACCTCTTTGTCGCAACACTCCGGTAGCAGCATCTCGATCTACTCAAACCTTCGTCTGTGTACATGAACTTATGTCGTCGTCTTCGTACACCAATTTCCGTCGTCGTCTTCGTACACCAATTTCCAGATCCGGTTGCTGTTTAGCTGTAATTGTATCCTAAACCAAAGAAATTCTTGGATCAAAGTAATTTTTATAAAAGAGATATCTAAAGCAAAATCAAATTAGAAGTTATGTAATTTCTAGACTAGTTTCGTGGTGGTTTCGTCGGTGGGTTTAGTGGTGGTTTTTTGGATGGGTAGTGGTGGTTCTTTCATTGGTGGCGGGTGGTGGTGTTTGGTGGCTACTTTAACAGTGGAATTGGTGGTTAGGTCAGGGGTTACTAGGTACAGTTAGGGGATACTAGGTTTAGGTTTGTAGTGGTTCGTTGGTGGTGATTATGGGTAGGTGGTAGTTTTCCGTTGGTGGTGAGTCAGGGGTTACTAGATCTGATCAAGGGTTACTAGGTTGGGGGTTATTTAAGTGGGGTTACTTGAGGGGTTACTAGAAGGGTTACTTAAGTGGAATTACTTTAGAGGTTACTGATGTGACACCCTTCCGCACCAGAAACGCGTCCTATGTTGTATTAGAGATTCTTCCATATCATCTCATGAATAGTGTCAAAAATATAAATATAACTAATAAAAAAGAATAGAGAGACTACATAGGTTGAGAGTTATACATGTATTCATACTATTATTTTATACGAAATATTTAGGATTTTAAACTTACATAAATGAATATCTATTTTATGATGTTTAGTACAGTATCTAACTTTTAAATTTTTTATACTGAAATGTGATCGACAATCAATGGAAATAATTGGCCACATGATGATCCACGAAACCTAGTTTCATTTGGGTGTGACTTACCGCCGGATTGAAGTATCTCTCTTCTTAGTTCAAGAAAATTAATCACACATCTAAATAAAAAAATGAATAGCATTAATTATTACAAAAAAAAACCGTTTATTCGCACATGTATGAATTTGTCATTTTTCTCGGACTTAATATCCCTACCCTATAAAAAGTGGGAAAATACTCTTATGAATAGTGTCAAGACTATTATACCCTTAAAAAAGTTAATTGACATATTTACCACCGATTAAAATTAATTTTAATGCATTTAAGTATTTAACCTTTTGTATTTTTGTCCTATATTTCTTTTTTTTTTATCTTCCTTCTTATCAATCCATCGAAAAGGCCAAAATCCCCATTTCTCAATTTTCTCTTTTCTCAAAAACTCCTTTTCTAGTTGCTGGAAAATACTGCTAACATGTCAGTTTTTATTCCCCCGGTCACCACCCACCGCCGCGATAATTCTATAAGGATGATGACCTTGTTGGTATTTTTTTATTGTTTTTTATTTTTTTTATTTTTATAATAAAGGAAATGTAAAGTTTGTGCAATCTATTTGTTTATGTTATACGAAGAGGTGAATAAGCATACTATTCGGAGACGCCCGTATCCGGTTAGAGTTGGGGACAACTCAAGATTGGTGGAGTTGACGGATGAATGCAATAATGGTACCTTCGTAGTGGTGGAATGTAAAGTGTAATTGCTTGAATACCATTAAAATGATAATAAAAAAAAACACATAAGAGTAATACTTTTGATGTAATCTCTTTTAGTTGTGTTTATAGGGGAGTCAAGCAAAGCAACTCATTTGATGAGTCTTCTACGGATTGTAGCAGTTATGTCTTACATATGAGGTACTATAGTCTTATGCTTTTGATTAAGAGGTTGTTTGAAGATGTATTTTGCTTTAGTTACTATGACATTGTCTCGATTTTTATCCTAGGAAAAGCTTATAATTTATGATTATAGGAAAGAATTAAGATGTACTAATACATCATCAGTTAAATACTCGTAGCTCATAAATGCTATCTCCTCCATTATATGGTCCAAAGACTATCTAATTGCAGGGAAATATACTAATTCATATAGCCTTTGTGACAGGGTGTTCAATGAGGGTTTTGTCCTCTCCATAACACTCCTATTGTAGTTATAAAATGATTCCATATCTTTGATTGCCTTTTTATATAGTAATACGCGTACATTGGCGAGTTATAATATATATGATCATTTTCAAAATAAATAATCATAACACAAAACATGTTTCCACAATTAAATAAATTAAGATATAATCTCTTATTGATCGACCTAAGACAAGTATAATTCAACAGCAGCTCAAAGTACGTAAACTTTGAGGTTCGAATTTATAACTCCCCTACGATGGCTAGCTATATCGCGCGCATAGGATTCCCTAGTAATTGTAAGTTTCAAAAAAATATAATTGTAAGTTTACAATACATTATCAAAATACATCTTCATTACATGGAACTTGATGAAAAACTATTTGATATACCACTTGCACAGTAGTTGCACTTCTATTAATTTAGTTTAATATACGTCTTAAAAAAATAATTTTGAATATACCATTTTCCATTTCATCAATAAATTTGATATGCCACTTGCACTTTCATGAACCAATCTATCTATATATGTATACCATTTTAAAAATTCTACAATGTCATTTTTAAAAAATGACACTACAATTTGCTGATGTGGCAAAATTTGATTGACCTATATTTAGTATTTTTATTTTCATTTTGAATTATTTTTAATATACATAATATATTAAAATTGTATTTTATTTTTGTATTCTTTTAATACATGTATTTTTTTTAGAAATACATAATTATAAATTATAAATCTATTTTTTATAATATTAATTAATATTTGAATTTATAATTATAATTAAAAATCACAAAATTAAAATCATTCAACATTTTTGATATTGTTCAACAATCGTTCATCAGTGTTCATACTTCATATTGTTCATCATTGTTCATATTGTTCATCAATCATATCATAGATTAATATTCCCAAAATTAATGTTAGTTGTTGATGAATTTGCAAATCTGGACTAAAATCGCACTAGTACATAATTGAGTTTACGTAACACGTGTTTGTAACACTTATTAAAGTGCAAAATTAATAGATTTATAAGTAACACTTTGGTAACATTTTTGTAGATTGTAACACTTAATGTAACACTTTTAAAATAAGTAGCATTACAAAGTATCACTTTTCACATAGGTAACATTATAGAGTAACACTTTTAAATAGATAACATTTTATAGTAACACCTAAGAAGTGTTACCTTATTTTATAACATCCCTAACCTATAAAGCTCTAACATGGCATTACTCCTCTTCTCATCTGCTAATTGATTAACTAAAATTAGTTTTGTTCGCTAATAAGGACAACTATGTAAATTACCCTCGTTGCCTTTAGCCTTCTCTAAGGCTTTGTTCTTTTGAGTTACTCTGCTCTACTCTGCCTTGCTCTGCTCTACTGTGTTGAAATCTACTCTACTATACTAAAAATCGCTTTGATGATCTGCTATGTTATGTTCTGTAGTGTGTGGAAGCCATGCTCTGCTCTTCTTTTCTATGTTCTACTGAAATCTGCTCTGCCTAAAAGCTCAAAAAATTCGAGCCTAAGTTGTAAGTACTACAACTCTTTTTTTTCTTTTTTTTTTATTTGAGGGGAAAAGTATTACAACTCTACGAGTAATAAAATTCCTCAAAGTATTTTACTTTAAAAAAAGAAAAAAAAAACTCTACAAGTGACAAAATAAAAACTTGTTTTAAAAAAAACAAAATAAAAACTTTACAGGTTTATATTGCTCGATTCTTTCTCCCACTTAGAAATGATGAACCCTAACATACCTCCAATTGATTGATCGAAACTCCCAAATTGATTGCTCGAATCTCCCAAATTGATTGCTCGAATCTTTTATTACTCGATTACTCATTTCTGCTTGATTCCCTTTCGTCTGAAGTGCTTCCAATTGATACGATAGAATTGCTGGATACAATTCTCTCTGCTGCTCAATTTTCGTTTGAGTAATCGCCCAAATCGAAAGTTTCAGGTATCAATTTTATTATTGTATGTTGTGTTTTTGATAGAAGTGGAGAAATTGTGTGATAATTTGTTGAGTTCATGCGATTTGAAAGTCACTTTCAGTTTTGCCATATCAATTTTGTAATTACTGATCGAATTTTCTCTTTTCGCTCGAATTTGCTGCAAGTTAGATATCGCTAATTTGTGATGTTTTTGTTAGATTCTTAATTATATGAGCTAATTTTGTTTATTGTCCTGATTTATGTTGAAATGCAGTTAATTGATTATTCCATTAAACTTTGAGTTAAATATTACTTTTTTTTCTCGCTACTCCACAGTTTATAATTAACTTTGATGAATGATTATTGATATTTTTGAACTGATTTGCTTCTGTTTGATTGTCTGAATGGATGGTTGAAAAGGATGGAAGGATTGAGGGGGTTAAGAAGAGGGTTTCTGTTGCTAGGTTTTGACTTGTTGATGTGTATATTTCGATATTCATTCTACTAAAACTAATGGTATAAATATTTATGAACAATTGGATAGAACTTAATTGGCAGACTATGTATTGATCCCTTGCCTTTAAGACAATCATGTACGAAGTGCTGGGAGTATGATCAGGTCTGTCGCATTGTGACAATTAGGTAATCCATTAAGATGCAAACAGGTCTGAACACTCTAGTAAATTTCAAAGAACTAACCTCACTCCTTTAATACATTTGGTATAGCTTAGAATTTCTCCAATTTTAGAGACCCGCCAAAACTCTACTCACCCATCCCAGTTTAAGCACTGATATAGTGACATATTAACTTGTAGATTGAAGTATACCCTGATAATCAAGCAAAAATCCTTTATGTATTCAGAGCCTTATATTATCTCCTGTATATGTTTGATAACAACTACTCTATAGTAGAAGCTACTAAAATTATCTGACACCAAAACCCATCAAAAAAATAACTTTTGGCAAGACTTATGCTTCCGTGGCTGGGACTACATCTTCATCAGTTGTGTCAAGCAAAACTGTTTCTTTTGCTGGTTCAGTGCCATCTCCCACTACAGCCGCCTCTGTTGAATGTAGTAGTTTTTCTCTAAGCTTTGTTTTAAGCTCGTCTTTTTCTCTTACATTTTCAATGAGAAACTTTCTAACTGATCTTTCCCATGTAAATTATGGCAGTTGAATATCACCCTGATTATTTATTAGCTTGTTCTTGACACCCAAACTTATGAGCTCTGCATCCCTACGTATGCCCTTGCCATAGCCCTTGCCATACTCGATTTAAAATTCAGTAGTTCTAAAAGGGGGGTGCATTCTTGTTCTTTAGGATTTTCACAAGGACCTGACTCCCGACAATCTGCAGAATGAAATAGTACATATAGTTAAGGGGAGTCATACACTATTTCAAACGATATTTTTATTAGTTCTTAATGGTTATCCTACCCCTAATTCAATGATTCAATCACTTAAATGTTTCTGCATCCCCTAGCCAGATTTATTTTGCTAATAGCTTTGAAGATAGCTAGGGTCAAGAGTCTACTAAAATTTGTTTACAACAATTAAAAGGTAATGAACTAGAATTAGCAATGTAAACTCTGATAACCAAGCTAATATTTCTAGGGGTCCGACACTCTAAAAATCTATTTGTGATCAATGATGTCCGTCAACTAACTGTCTTGTGTGTTCTTTGTAGGAATCAAGATCTAGATGGACATTATGAGAAAGCTAGACAAGCTAAGCAAGGATAGAACAAAATAGAATCAGAATGAGGGATTTGGGGGTTACATTAATGTTTTATACACTGAAACAGTCGATGAAGGGATCAAAATAAACAAAAAAAAAATTAAAAAGGCGACTAAAGATAAGCAATAACAATAAAAATCAAGCAACATAATAAGTAATCATGAACAAAATAATAATAATAATAATAATAATAATAATAATAATAATAATAATAATAATAATAATAATAATGTCATCATAAATTATAACAATTATAATCATAATCATGTTCATGTTAATATTAAAGCATAATAATAACAAGATCCTAGGCATGATACTAACAAGATTAATAACAAACCCTAGCATGTCACTAAGCAATAAAAATCAAATCTTTAATCCTAACATGATACTAACATGAATAAATATTAGGAAGAACATAAGAAACATCGTAACAATCATATTTAATATTAAAATTACCCTAGACATGATACTAGGAATATCATAATAACAATATAAACATGATTTCTACATCATAATATCAATAAATCAATAAAGTACTTACTTTGATGCCTCGTACCTCTTTCTAATAACAAAATACACACGTTAGTAACTTCAAGGAAAATAATAATCAAACAATTAAATTAAATAATTGAAATAGAGATTTGGGACCAGACCCTCAGAAATTAAACCTTTCACGTCTAGGGCGAAGACAACTCCGAATATGGCTAGGTATTTCTAGATCTTGTGAATGCGGAATTTTGTATAAGAAAAGCAAAGTAAGAATTGAATGTTTTAAGAGAGATGAATGATTTAGAGAATGCTAAAGAATAATGATTGTTGATGAATGATGGATGTAGATGATTAATGGTTGGTGAAAACAGAGTTTTTAATACAATATTTATAGAAAAAATCAGCCAAAAAAGATAAATTAAACAAAACAGAGTCTGACGCTCAGAAAACAGGGCTGGCGCCAACCCTGGCTAGCTGGCGCCAGGCTCCACCACTAGCGTCAGGCGCCAATGGCTAGCGCCAGGTGCCAGGCCTAGGGTTAGGCGCCAAGCCTGATACCAACGCGTTTTCGAAAATCTGATAAGTTTACCGTACTGGAGGATTAAATCATATAATTTCCTCGAAAATGCTATTTGATTTTGATTAAAACTCTGAAAAGTCAACAAAAGTCAATTTATCAATGCTAATTGAATTAGGAATGAAAAGAACCTTCTAGAAGAATCTAGAAGACTAAAATCATTCCTAATTGCATTAGGAATGATAAATCATATTAGGCCCTCCCCTAAATCATTGGGCCGTACATAAAGCTCAAACCGGGCCCAGTTTAGTAAATTGGCCATAACTTCCTCAATATTCATCGGAATTGGGCTTATAATATATCGTTGGAAAGGTCTTTGCAAGCCCCATCCAATTACACTACTATTGGACCCATATCATGGACCATCCAAACTGGATTGACTGTTTTCTTAAAATAAGTTTTCAAAAACAGAAAGAAGAGAAAAGAAATTAAAACTTTCCGCAACACTAGATCTTTCCACATTTTTATTTCATTCGATTATGATTCGACGTGAAAGGCACTCATCACTGGGTTTGGTTTTGGGGAGACACAAATGGGTGTCTACAGAAGCCTCCACTTTGACTGAGTTTGGAGAAACGTGAGTTTCGAAAACAAAAGTCAAAGTAGCGATAGGGACGAAGAATGATTTAGAACGTTCTGCGATCCTAAATCAATCTTGTAACGCCGATACCTGCAAAACTAGCATTAGTTAAACAGATAAAAGAGTTAAGAAACGCGTATCTTGCACCGTCGAGCACACGTCTCTGAAAGTAACCGATTGCTTTGATGACCTCCTGCAAGCTAGAGAATGTCATCCCGCTTGAAAACTGCTACGCCTGTAACTACTTCCAACTAGAAGATTGCTTCGCCAGAAACGATCCTCCTCCGCATTGATAATATTCCACATCCTAGGGAATACCATGGAAGATTATTTCTCTTGAAACAATCTTCATCCGCGTTGATAATATTCCACATCCTAGGGAACACTATCGAAGATTATTTCTCTTGAAACAATCTCCATCCGCGTTGATAATATTCCACATCCTAAGGAAAACTATCGAAGATTATTTCTCTTGAAACAATCTCCAGTTGTTCATGACAACTCTTCGCAAGCTAGGGAATGCTGTCGAAGATATCTTCTCTTGAAGTCACCTTCGCTTAATGCGATAATTTTCCAAAGGAAATTACCGAAGATCTAGCCTGTCGATCTTTAAAAGTTCGCCTGAACTTTGCTTCCGCTATGCCTGTACATCGGCGCTTCCGTTGCTTTGAACCTATATGTCGGTGCTCTCTTTTGCTCTTGAACCTATATGTCGGTGCTTTTTGCTAATGAGCCAATGCTTAGGCTCTTTAAGCGCTGATACCAACGCGTTTTCAAAAATCTGATAAGTTTACCGTACTGGAGGATTAAATCATATAATTTCCTCGAAAATGCTATTTGATTTTGATTAAAACTCTGAAAAGTCAACAAAAGTCAATTTATCAATGCTAATTGAATTAGGAATGAAAAGAACCTTCTAGAATAATCTAGAAGACTAAAACCATTCCTAATTGCATTAGGAATGATAAATCATATTAGGCCCTCCCCTAGATCATTGGGCCGTACATAAAGCTCAAACCGGGCCCAGTTTAGTAAATTGGCCATAACTTCCTCAATATTCATCGGAATTGGGCTTATAATATATCGTTGGAAAGGTCTTTGCAAGCCCCATCCAATTACACTACTATTGGACCCATATCATGGACCAACCAAACTGGATTGGCTGTTTTCTTAAAATAAGTTTTCAAAAACAGAAAGAAGAGAAAAGAAATTAAAACTTTCCGCAACACTAGACCTTTCCACACTTTCGTTTCATTCGATTATGATTCGACGTAAAAGGTACTCATCACTGGGTTTGGTTTTGGAAAGACACAAATGGGTGTCTATAGCCGCAGAAAAAGCCACGCGCATCTCTCAAAGTCGCACTGGGCTGCCGCGCGCAACTTATTCAGTTGCGCGCGACAACCAGGGTTGCGCTACGGAAAATATAAAATCGAATCTTACCATAAATCCGGGCGCACGACAATTAGTTGCGCTGGACATAGCAGCGCAACTCTATAACTTGCGCTGGGATGCTGCGCACAACTCTATCTGTTGCGCGCGACACCTGCTGCGCAGAATGCTCGAAACCCTAAACCTAATCATTCCCTATAAATACGAGCTTAAATCGAGGCTTAAACAGACAAAAATTAACCTAAAACTCTGGCGAAATAACTTGTGAACTTGTGCAACCTAGCCCTCTTGTCCTAAACACTCACCCTTTCAATATCTTGTTACTACGGTGGAGGTTCCCCAACAAGAAGGAGTCCATAAGTGTTCTAAACGAAGATCTAGAAAAGAGAAGTGGTAAATTCCCGAGCACTTAGTTAAATCACCTTTATTTTCTTGTTTAAAAGGACTATAATTAATTAATTAGTGTTGTTTGATCACCTTTAAAATAATTAATTAATCAATTCCACATAGTATCTTGCGTTAAATAAAGGTTAGAATTGAATTAAATAATTGTTGGTTGATCACTTAAGCCAAGGCGGATCTTGTTTATTTTATTGTTCTTTAACGAATATTATTAAATAAGAATAACGACTTTCACGATGTAATTCCTATGTGAATTAATGTTTGTAAATAAAATTAACTAACATAGTTTTAGGTATCACGTTACATATATTGTTTGGTGATGAAATTGTAAAAAAGGAAGAGCTAGTAGAGGTCGTACTAAGGCTAGGATGATGATTCCCCTCTAAAAGGAACGTTATCTTAGTACCCTTGCTCCCGAACTCATTTCTGGTTTATAGACCAATTTGGGCATGGGTAAACTTATGATTCGTGCTAATTATTCCATGAACTCCACATGGAAGAAAGGCATGAACGAGGTTTATGAGTTTTTCCTAAAACTCATTGGCGACTCCTACTTGTAGGGGTGAAAGTTCGGTTTTCGGTTTGGTTTTTTGCCCAAATCGAAACCGAACCACTCTAATTCGGTTTCTGTATTTTTGAAACCACACCGCACCCTTTACTTTAGAAACCGAACCAAACCAAACCATATTTATTTCGGTTTCATAATAAGAAACCGAACCAAACCGAATTTTTTGGGCCTCATTTATTTGGGCCAATAATCTGCAATTTTTCGGGCCTCATTCATCAACAAAGCAGTACTGCAGTAGCATAATATCACTAACAAGTTCTAAAACTTCAAATTCAACAAGTTTCAACTTAACAAAATCAAATCAAACCAATCCATACACATAATTAAACAATTTTTAACAACAAAGTAACAAAATCAAACCAACCATTCCATACAAACAAGTTTTAACAACAGAATTGAACAAGTTTTTAATAAAAAAACGCAGAACAGCAAGAGCAGTCATACACCAAACCCCTATACAACGGCCCCTACACAACGGCCCTTACCTCGAATTTGGGTTTCAATGTCTAATTCGACCATGAAAACACTAGATCTAGTGTTTTCATGGTCGAATTTGACATGAAAACCCTTTAGTTGATGCCCTTGATGGAGTTCGAAAATCTTCAAAAGATTCGTCGATGGTGATGCGAATGGAAGGTGGAGAAGTGAGAAGAGAAAAGGAGATAGAGTGAAGGGGGAGAACTGAGAACTGAGAACTTGAGAAGAGGAAAGGAGAGTGAGTGAGAAGACTGAGAAGATCAGAAGAGGAGAAAGAAGGGTGAAGCGTGGAGCCGCGGAGAAGAGAGAAGAGGAAATGAGATAATTAGGGTTTTTTTTCGTTTATATACTTAGGGTAAATCTGTTGGGCTAGGGTTATTTTTTGGGTTTGGGCCTATATTTCGGTTTGGTTCGGTTTTTTCGGTTTTTCACTTTCTCAAACCGAAACCAAACCGAAAACCGAATTATTATTTTTTTCAAAACCGAAACCAAACCACTTAAAAAAAAACCGAACCATATTTGGTTTTCGGTTCGGTTTGGTTTTAAACCGAATTTGTTTCACCCCTACCTACTTGTTTCTTACAAAAAAGTGTGATGATATAATCAATTCTAATTCAAGGTCCCCCAAACAGTCAGGAATTCAAATCCTACTACACCCTAACAAGTGTAAAGTCCTAGCTAGGCTTTTAAGTGGCCAAGGGAATTTAAGGAGAGTACCCCTTACGATGGGATCACCCTCCTTACACACGAATAATTAAAAATTCAGGTTGACCCACAGGCTCAAAAATCATGGATCCGCAATTGGTACCACTATCATTTAGCGACAACAATTAAAAAATATGGTCTTGTGGGGTCCACTTGAATTGAACCTTAATCACCGACCACTCCCCCCCCCCCCCAAATTGAATCAAATTAGCCACCCACTACTGGTTATGGTTCGATGGGGGAGTGATGGGTGGCTAGGGTTCGATTAAGGTAGAGGAGTGGTGGGTAAGGGTTCGGTTCAGGTGGGAGAGTGGTGGATGGTTAGGGTTTGGTTCAAGTGGGCCCCACAAGACGATTTTTTATATTTTGGCGTTGAATAGTATTGGTATTGAAACAAATTTTTTAACAATTAGTTATTTTTTACAAAAAAAATTATTTAAATGGTAGTTATTTACAAAAAGTGTAAAGTAAATGGTAATGGTTCACAATAAATTAAACTTTATTTATAAAGTGTCCTTATTTGATCAGCGTATTAGTCAACGCATAATTCATCACCAAGATTAGTAATAAGAATAAAATATTAAAAGTTGATATTCGAAAATTATACGCTTAAAAGGATTTTAACATGTGTTCATATGACTTTATATGATCTTATGTACAAAATACAAATATCGCTTAAAGTGGCACATATGACTGGTATCAAAGTCAAAATGGAGCATTTAAAAGAACGTAAGGAGTATTTTAATGAATAATCTAAACTTCTCTTTTTTTTTTAATCCGAATCATTTTATTTTGTCTAAATTTAATTGGATTTGTTTGGGTTGGCCCAAGCCTTGGCATAATTACCATTAAAATGACAAAGATACCCTTTATTAGGATCAAGTCTACTATGATCAAGTCCATTATTCCTAAACCTGCCCTTTATGACGCGGTTACTAATTTACCCCTGATTTAACCAAAAAGTACAATTGATGCCCTATCACATCACCTTTAAAAATAATTTCATTTAGTAAAAAAATCAAACTATGTAAAAATAAATTCAGATTAGTAAAAATAGGTAATTTAAAAAAAAAAGAAATATAATAGAGAATCGGTAAAAAAATCATTTTAGTTCAATAAATTAATTTAAGTTCAGTTTAAATAATTTAAGGTTTTCAAAAATAATTTTGGTTCAGTAAAAATAATTTTAGTTAAGCAAAAATAAGGTGGAGTGAACATGGCCTAATTAAGACATGTAATTTTTTCCGATTTTCTACTCTCTCAACTTTCTCTTCCTAGAAAGTATTTTTTGACTTGACCATCGGAAGGACGTTCTTAGGGAAACGTAAGGTCCTGTTCTTTGCTACGTCTGCTTTACTATGCTAAAATTTGCTCTGCTCAACTAACACATACTCTACTATGCTCAGAAGTTCAAAAATTTAGGGCAAATCTTTTGCAGACTCTCAAACGCTTTGGAATGGACAACTTTCAACTTCTCTAGCCAAGACACAAAAATGAGATTATTCCCAAAATACCCCTTACTGTTAAAAGTTTTTTGTTCGGGAATCAGGTGGCACCATGCGTGGAGGTAGGCAACAAAAGGCCATGGTGAAAACCAAGCGCCCCTACCATGCACATGCACTTGAAGAAATCATAATTTCTGTTCAAAATGCTTTTGTTGATGAAATAAATGGCACTCTGCACTTATTAAAAAAATAAAACAAAAAAAAGGCATTCTTCTAGTCATTCACCATGATTTGGAGCAATTGGCGACCCAACAGGAAGTATCCCGGCCCACATAATATTACAATTAAGCTTGGGTTCATTCCAATATACGCCATATCCACTAACCTTTAATTTACCACCTTTATTATTGAATCTTTCAAACTCATCAAATAATCATGTCATTTTCCTTTAAAAAATAAAAAATAAAAATCACCAAACATCCCACCACGTCCTTCTAACAAACAAACCCATAACCAACATAAACATGCAACGCACTAACAACATTGGCTCCCTCAAAAATACATTTTATCACACTTTTTTCATCATTTAAACATAATCCCAATTCTTATTTTCCTAAACTAATCTTAATTGGTATTCATCTTATCATCATTTCACATCCCTAACCTTTTTGATCATGAACATAAAAAAGCTAAAAGTACCCAAAAAAATGAGGGTAACAAGTATGTCCTCAAACAAATTTAGGGGTATGAAGGTGAGTAGAAGCATCAAGAGCATAAAAAAACTTGACATTAAGAAGAGGTTCCCTAGTCTTAGGAAACGAAAATCTGTTGGTGGCACAGGTGGTGCAGGTGCTGTTGGAGGGGCTAGTGGTGGTGCCGGTAGGGTGGGAATTCGTCGTAGTAGTAGTAAGTGGATTTCCTCAGTAAGGAAAAAGATATTAAGGCCTAAATTCCCTGGTCACAAAGGAAGAAACAAGAATATCATTATCATTCACAATAATACAAGTATTTCTGGGAATGAAGATGATAATAGGACTAGTTGTGCTACGGTGATCAAGGAGATTAGCTCCGTGAAAGAGGAGGATGTCACCTCCATTGACTCGGCTGCTCCACCGCCTCACGATCAAGCAAGTAAGGAGGAGGAGACGACAACAGAGGAGCAAGAAGAGGAGGAGAGTAGAGATGCTTCGGAGATTATGAAGTTAAGGGAAGAGATGGCTGCTGTCCACATTCAATCTCTTTTCAGGGGTCATTTGGTAATACTATACCTTCAATTCAATCATTATTCTAATTAAACCATCTCATGAATTCATGATAAATGTTTGGATAACTTTTTTTTTTTAGATTTTTGTTATATGTTGTCTTTTATTTAACCTAGTTAATTGTTAGCTTAACATTCAATCATTTGTTCGATCACTATAATAATCATTAGTTATTGGGTTATAAGTCATTTTAAAATAAAACAGACTCACTATATAATACTTCTTATATATGATTCAAGAACTTTTAGAGTTAGACAACGCTTATGAGAAAGATAGAAAGAAAAGTGTCAAAAATGCACTTTTAGTTTACATTACCTCCAAAATTCTAACGCATTGATTTTTTTTTTTTTTTTTTTTAGCACTATTTCATTCAAAATCTTCCATGAAAGTTGTTATTAATGAAACAATTTACCTATTTAATTTATCCATTTTTGGGGTGACTTACATGCACACAGGCAAGAAGAGCAATTAAAGCATTGAAAAGTCTAGTCAAGCTACAGGCTGTGGTTCGCGGGGTGTGTGTGAGAAGGCAGGCTCGTATTGCATTGCATTGTATGAACACAATGGTCCGTCTGCAGGACCGTATTCGAGCACGACAGCTCCTTTGTAGAGCCAGTGATGCAATTGAAGCTTGATCATCTATTCAAGTTGTTCTATTATTGACTATTTTATATTCAGTTGAATGGAAAAGAAACTATTCGATTTTCAGTGTACAACGTTCTTATACCCATCTTAATTTAGTGGGTAACATGTTTGATATGAGTCATATGACTGACTATTCTTAATTTTGACATATTTGCATATACTAGTACATAGTAACAACTAATATTTCAATATTTATAACACGTTATTGTAGTTCAAATCTTCTAATAATATTATACTATGAAAGAAGAAAATTTCTCATGTTGATTTCATCAGAGTATGGGAAAAAATATCATGCTAGTTTTACTAAAGAACAACTAAAACAAAGTTTAAATACACTTAAAATATAATTAGAAGAGGTTGATGTGATAGAATCAGGAGAAAAGCCCTCCTTGTACTAAGGAGTGTTATCAATGATGTATGAATTAAAATACAAGCATGAATTGTGAAGAATTTAAATACTCCTCACAAGTCTCAACCCTCTCGTATTTAATCTATAGGGGAATACTCTACAATAAACTAGATAATATATAGTTTAAGATAATACGAATAGAACAATCAAACTCATCTAGATAAGCCACATTGCACTTGATCGTAAACCAGACAAACAGAACGAAAAGCCCTACGCGTGCAAACCAAAAGCTCACATGCAGGCCTGAAGATTGAGCGTGTAGTCCTTGAAGTTGCTCGTGTTGAAAAATGATCCCTAAATTTCAATTTGCTGCAGCATGGCTCTTAAGCATACGGGCTCGTACATGAGCAACAACATGCACAACATACATATTTTGTTTTGCAAGGATTGATCTTCTCTTTACATGGATTGGGCCATTTTTGCATAAATAGGTTGAAATTCAAAAACTGATGAAGAATTCATTAATTTGTCAACAATTACTTCGAATTTAAAGTGCCTGATTGGAATAAAGCTTAAAATTCCAATAAATTCTGAGCAAAGTGAAGGACTTATCGTAGCAAATAACAAGGGTCTTCAAGAGAGAACTAACCCAAACTATTTACATGATTTTGTTGCTCATTAATCTTTTTGTAAATACTAATATCACACTTCTCAATATCATAATTAGGGACATTTATATGCAAATGAGCTAAGCAGCTCAAAGCAAGATAATTTTAGTTTAACAATGTCAAGCTTAAAAAAATTTTGGAGATATTTCCAGTAAAACTAGTATTATTATGAATTTCAGACTAAAATGATTTTAGTTTTCTTTTGTCTAACATTTAAAAGTTTTGTGGGCACATGTTACATGTCAAGTAAATAAAAAATAAAAAATAAAAAAACTTCAGATAATAAAATGATTCAAAGTTGGTTCAGATGGGAGATTATTCGAATTTGGATGATTTTTTAAATTTGGACTTGAGTAACTCGACTAGAGAAACAAAAAAAAAAAAAAAAAAAAAAAAAAAAACAAAAAATGGTTCAGACAAACTCAATTATCCAAATCCAAAATTTTTAGCACTCCATTCAATTAGCATTCGTTTGTCTTAGATACAAGTGGATATTCACACAATTAGAATATGTGTACATATATTATAGCCTACATGTTGGTCGACATATATTTCTACAAATAGCATCTCTCTGCCATGCGAGTTGTTAGTCAGTTTCAGTAGGATCCATTCCATTTGTTAGTCACGCAAGATATTATACAATCTAATGAAAATATTATACAATCTACTGAGAGAGATCTGCATCATTTCCGAAGGGCACACTTTGATAAGAAGCATTTTTTGGGAAGAAGATTAATTTTGGCAACTATCAACTTCTACTACCTGTGTTGACAGAAAAACCATCTCAAAATGACTAAATAGTACTCTGTAATAGAGAAGAAATGTGATCATCCAAACCCTATAAAACCGTTAGTGCCTACCTCTTTGGCTATTTGCTGCAGAACCCCACTAACTTCCGAGAAATTGGGTCTAAGGGTAGGGTCCAGGTGCCAACATCTCTCCAGCAGATCAGCTAGGTTCGAATGAACATGCTTTGGAATAGCAGGTCGCAGCCCCTAATAATCAGGTTTAATATAGTCATTATCAGAATAGACAGGTAACACTAGTTGCCAGTGTTGATCAGAATGGAGAATATTATTACCTTTTGGACTACTCCAATTGCAGCTTGCAATGGGGTCAAGGAAGAGTATGGAAGCTGGTAAATAAGATCATAAGAAAGTTACTGCTAAATTTGGTACTAAGATGAACTCATGCTATATAAGAAAGGTGTCCGGCAATGGTACATTTGGAGGCCAAATGGGGTTGCATTGGAGCAGAAAGGGGGAGGAGGGGTGAAACAACAAAAAAAAAAAAAAAAAAAAAAAAAAGGATTTAAACGAAAAAGACTTACTTCGCCAGTAAGAAGCTCCCAGATTACTATCCCAAAACTAAAGACATCTGCTTTATGGTCATAGGGTTTATGTCCAATAACCTAGAAATCATAAAACCAGTTGGAGCAACATAAGCCAGAAAAGTCATTCATAAGTAATGTCAAAAAAAAGTTGAAGACAGCCAGCCAGAGATTTAGAATAAAAAAAAAAACCCCCTAGTATTATGACGGAACAATTATAGCCTTTGGTGTAAAATCAATTATGTTGAGAAAGGGCAAAACAAAATGGTAAGTTCCTGTTAATAATTTTCAATCTTTGCTGCTTTTTAAATTGAAAATTGAGGCCTTTTGTGGATAGAGGACAAGAGTAAAACCTGTGAAGTATATTAAGAAGTATTACAACCAAATCAATTCACCACCACAGAACCAGTGGAGCAACAGTTCTAGCCCAAGGCAAGCACAACCTTCCTTTCACAGGATAATGAGAAATTTGATTAATTAATGTACACCTGTCATGTTTATTTGGGACTTAGATACAACAGCATCTGTCTGAAGCAGCAAATTATCATACTAAACTGTGGTTGGACAGCAATGACTTGGACTAACAGTATAAAGTTTTGTCACATCGAACACAAAATGTAATTTCCATACCATTGCAACAGGTATCCAGCCAACTCCAGTCAAAAAGATAAAAGCAAAAAGACAGATAAAGTTAACTTAATTGCTCAGTTTTTCTGAATGGGCAATATCCATTGATTCAATTATGTTCCAGCAATCATCCCCTTTCTACAACACAGCAATCAGAGTGGATATCGAACTTCAACCAAAACAAATTTCCCTTAGCATGCCACTTGCTTTTTGTTTTTTCTCATTTGCTTTTTTTCTTTAAAAAATTTCTTTTACAATTTACAACTTGGTCTCATTTCCTTTGCTTATATCTGAAGTTTAAGTAATCTCTAAACATGACAAATATATGAAGATAATGGAATCATAATTACCTCTGGGGCCATCCACCTATAAGTTCCTGTTTCAGCTGTCATGACTCCTGATTGTGTTTGTACTTTAGCAACTCCAAAGTCAGCAATCTTAACAACCTGCAGGAAGCAATGTTATTCAAAGATAACTTAGACAAGAATCCCCATATAGGTAAATACTTAAATTTATTTTCGAGGACTCGAGAAGTACGGGGCAAAGGATGCAACAATCTAATAAAATAGAAACTGAGAACTACAACAGAATTCAGGAAGCTGATTGGTTCACCAAATTCAGAAAAAAACAGATAATGTTGACAACACTCCAGATCATAGAACCAGGGGCGTGGAAAATTTTACCGGGGCCTTGTGCGATTTCAAAAAATTGGGGCCCTTATTCGAGAATTGAAAAAAAAAAAAAAAAAAAAAAAAACCTACTAATATACTTTTAAAAAAAAATTAAGAAAATGGCACAGCATATATTAAAATTAGAATAAATCAATCACATGGAAGAAAAATAATACAAACTCAATTATACTTTAAAATTTACATACAGTCCACAGTAGAAAGACTATGAATTTTTAATTGAAGCAAAGAAACATAAAGTATTTGATTAAATTTTAGATAATTGGATGATTAGATCTTGGCAATGAACAATGAAAACTTAAAGGGGTGAGAAAATAAAGACTAAAGACGTGTGAAAATAAGTTAGCAAAGGTGAATGTTGGATGGTCTAAGAAATGAACAAAAAATTAAAATGATAATAACCATCTTAACCAAAATATTGAGAACGTTAAAAATAAATAAATAAATGAGTACAAATGAATAAGTATAGTACAGTTGTAAACCAAAAGGAAACAAAATTTTCTAAAAAAAAAAGGCAGGAGTCGAACCCGGGAGTCCTGCTACATTGGACATTGCCTTTACCACTGATTACTTAGTTCTAGATATCTATCTTGTATTATAAAAATATATACTGTTATAATATTGGGGCCCCTTATAATTGGGGGCCCTGTGTGGCCACACCGGCTGCACCGCCCCAGAGCCTCCCCTGCATAGAACTGAAATCTTACGAATATTGTTTCCATGTCAGGAGTCCATTGATGCATAGGTGCTAGGGAACCAAAGCTAAGGCACAGCAGACAGTAAAATTTTTCCATGCAATCACTACCGTTCATACAACTGGATAAACAGCCCCAAAACAGCTTTAATAAAAAAAAAAATAGGAAGAGAAAAAAATCTCACATACTTCAAAAAATTCATATCTACTTTATCCTTGCCGCCTAGAAGAGCTTCATAGCACTCACGACACCCCTTCTCCTTCCTAATAATGACCAATACTAATAGCCACCTAGATATTCCTAGTCATACTAGATCTCAGAAAGTAAGAAGTATTACCATTTGGCATCATCATGCAAGAAAGTCTCAATATCATATCCTAAACCCCCAACTCCCACACTACTTGTACAGAATGATACAAAAGTCCATCACTGGCAAGAATAATGACCAGACTACCAGAGTATATAGGAATAAAATTTTTAAACATGATAAATATTATTGAGGGCCATTGTGCCACAAAAGTAGTGTAATTGATGCTAAGCACAAATTCCTGATTCTATATTGCACTAATACCTGAGGTTTAATCATTAAACTCACACAAGAAACACTATTTCAAAACCAAAAAAAAAAACACACACACACACATGAATATATTCATATGAATTTCTACTGAGTCTCCAACATAGAGTGTCTTTGCCAATGGACATTTGTTGTTAATATAAAATCAGACAAAGTCACATAATTACATTCTGCTCCCTTACTAATCCCTACAACTCCCTCCGCGAAATGTTTTTACAGATCATGTGATTGCAAAGGTAAGATGTCTTACCCCATCTTCTCCCATAAGCAGATTGGCAGTTTTAAGGTCTCTGTGTACAATATTATTCTGGTGGAGGTACTCCATTCCCATGGAAACATCAATAGCTGCCCTGAGTAGTGATTGTAGTTTGAACACACCCTTTCTCTTATGCATGAAATCATACAAATTCCCTTTTGGCATGAATTCTGAAAAAAAAAAAAAAAAAAAAAAAAAAAAGAGGGGGGAAAAAATCAATCAGAGAAAAAACACGCTTTAGAAAAAGAATCAGTCTGCAACTACTCTCCTACTGAAGATTCAAAGCAACATTAAGCAGAATAAGAATGTCAAAATACTGATCAACTTTGGAATGCCAATCTTACACTTGGTAGATAGCATGTGTACCACAAACACTCAAGAAAACAGACACAGACGCCTCTACCATACATTGTTGGCTAGATCAGAGACCTGTATGTATCTGTATTACTATTTTAGTTGTCTGAGAACCTTTTACTGAAAGAGAAGACTAGACCTATACAAATCTGTATTACAATTTCAGAAGTCTGAGAACCTTTTACTGAAAGAGAAGGCTAGACCTATACGTATCTGTATTACGATTTGCAACCCCTAGAACAGAACGCCAAGAGTAAGGAAGCAATCTGAAGTGGCAATCTGAATGATGAAGATAATAATTGCACCAAGGACTGTACAAAAGTAAATGTCTACACATCAACTTATAACATTTATAGACTAGCTAACAAAATGAGCAAATCATTTTCCATTGTGATTTTAAAGTATAAAATTAAGTTTAAGTTGAATGCAATTTCTTCAATACATTCAGTACTTAACACAGCACGATGAAGATAGCTTTAGAATATAGAAATTCAATGGTACTAGAACTTGAAACTATACTTGAGCAATTCAACAAAACAAATGAATATTTTCACAGGACATTACCAGTCACAAGGAAAAGGTTCGGAGGTTTTGTACAAGCACCTATAAATTGCACGACATTCTTGTGCTGAAGTTTCCTACAAGATGAACAATAGTTATAAATAACATGTTAATGAAAGTCACTTGTTCTCCTTAAACAATAACCCTTCTCTCACATTAACCCCAGCTCACTTAAATTACATACACGGCTTAAGCATGTAGGGCTTGACCCCCACTCCTTTCTAGAAAGTGCCAAGAGGATAGAAAATCTACAGACGGATTGGCCTAAGGTAGAATATATAGAATAACACATGACTCAAGGCTGATTTCAAATGAGAAATAATTTATATAGGTACTCTAGTTTCGCTCTGTGTACCAGAAGACCAAAGGAACCGGCAGGTACAAATCACTTTGACTATTTGTTTTAGTGATTAGAGAACTAACAAAGGGGAGAACGTAGAATTGATAAGATTATTCACATACGCTTGAATAACTCAACCCTAAATTCAAGTTCAGTATCTTCTCTCCGTGTTCAGATTAAAAAGCCACATATGTTATTTTACACTATTAATTAGCACCTTAGTTTGCATAAAAAAAAAAAAAAAAAAAAAATTAGCACCTTAGTTTGCATTAAAAAACATTAGCACCTTAGTGTACATTCAACAAATAATGCACAAGCACCCATGAGTTTATAGCTCATAAGGTGTAAGCAATAACACTGGAAAACATATGGCAACTTTCAAGGATCAGAATAAGCAAGAAGAAAGAAATGGCAGATTGACCTAATAAAACTCAATGACCAAAGTCAACTGTTGAGCTTTGTCACCTATGAAATGCGCACTAGACTCAAGTTTGATTATGCCTGAATTAGCGCAACAGAAACAACCCTTTACTTTCATATCCTGAGAAGAAAACAGGGTGAAGCATTACTGTACAGACGCAATGCTTTCAGCTCATGATTAATTAAAGCTGGAAAGCATAATAACAATAGAATTGGGATGACTTTGACCTGCTCTCAATCATATAATTCTGTATTTCTGTTCCATAAGTGTTTAATGTCATTTACTTTGTACAAGTAATCTTAACCATCTCATCCTTCTATTTCCATAATAGAAGTGACTCATTTGCAAAAGAAATCTTCATCCATTAATCTACTTTCTGCAAAATATTTTACACCATGCCAAGCCTAAACTAATGTGACTTATGAGCTCTCACATACAATCTTCAAATTTACAGTCAGCTAGCTACCTTATGACAACATAAATAGCACAAGTTTCATTGAAGCAGTGTACAAATAAACGTAATGCTTTCATAAGCTCATTCCTTAGCATCACATTCAAGATATAGTCTGTCACTTCTCTTTTAGACTATAACATCTCATCACATTTTTAAAAATAAAAAAAAACAATGCACAGTGCCATCGTTCACAAAAGTCCAATCCGTCAAACTTAAGCTTAAGAAAGATTAACTTCGCAAATACAAGCAACAGCAGAAAAGGCAACTATCCAACTTTGGATAACTATGGAACGGAGAATGTATCACTTAAAAGTCTGTCATTTCTTTCTTGTAGTGTAAATAGTGTCCAGTTTGGTTTAATACATATGATGGAAACAAGAAATGCAGAACAATACCCACTATGGATCTAGAAGAATGGCATGCTAGATTATAGATCTGATTAAATTTTCATTATATAATAAAGAGTGCACTTGTGGGAGAAGATTTTCGGAGGGGGGGTACTAGAATAATAAAGGACAAACAGTGAATGGGTGAATTCAAGTAAAAGGCCATCCCACAGCCGGATGAGAAAATATCACTCTCCATTTTTCTTTTTTCAATAAACAAATTATTTTTTTGTTGATAAACAAATTAATATCAGATCGCCCAGTCTAGTTCCTTAATAAAACAAATAGAAAAATCAAAACAGTGGTCCAAGGCTACAAAAAAGACTATTCCTAAATTAATACTCGACATTAAGGCATCTCAATCCAAGAATCCAGCTAGCATGGGAGAATGGACCAGGACTTTCTCATGCAATCTGAAAGAAATTACTCAGGAAGAAGGATTATATAGATGAAGGCAAAATAAAGAATAGCCACTCACTCTTGCCATTTTTGTAGTTTCTCTCCTTCATAAGTCTTAACTACTTCCTCTCCCCCACCCCCTTGTCTCCCCTTCCCCTTCTCTATAGTGTAAGATTCACAATCCAAATCATTTTTCCTTGCAACCTGAGATGTGCAACAAATTACACTACTCCCTCCGTTTCATAGTTAGAAGCCTATTTCTCTTTGTTATGTGAGTATAAATGTTAGAAATAGGCTTCTAATTATGAAACGGAGGGAGTATTTATTTGTGATAAGTAGTAATAAGTTGTATTTCAAATAAATACTCAGGTATCGTTTGGTTTTTCATGAATTTCCTTTTGGCCATGTTGTTTGGTTGACATTAAAACTAAAAAAAGGGAGGAAGTTACAATTCATGGGAAGTACAATTTCCCGCAAAGCATTGGAAGTTACTAACCCACCCCTTGGTCATTCACAATTCCTAAGATTGACAAATTACCACATGACAACCAAACAAAGTATTGCAATTCCTAGGAATTTTATAAAGGAATTAACTTCCCATGCATTAGAAGTATCCATAGGAATTTCTCTCCTACATCAACCAATCGAGTCCCCAGACTAGAAACCACCGCTACACAGTCATAACTTTGTAGAGGCATATAGGTAAGGTAACAAACATCTGCTTACATCCCCATTACTCCCCCCCCCCCCCTCTCTCTCTTTCTCTCTTCCTAGAGGATACCAGCAGTAAGCGTACTTAGAGGTATTGGTTAATAATACAGAATGGAAAGGTATGGCAAATAACTGAAAACAACACTTTGTATAATTCCATTAAGAGAAATTTCCATCCATTACTATTTTTACTAGCCATAAGCTACAAGTATGTCCCTCATCTTTATGTCTCTTGGAAGACATCTTTCAACTTGACAGCATAGACCATATATGATAGTTTCTTCTTTCTATTCCACTGCCCTGGTGTTTCTTAACCATTGGTTATTTAGCTATAAACCTTCTCTTGTTAGATGTATGGCAATGGGAAATAGGGTGTGATTTCCAACCTCTATCTTTACCAACAGGTCTTACCAATTTAAGTTTTGAAGTCATGAATTTCTGATAAGATAGACTTGTATAGCTCCACTCACCTTAAAACGCTAGCTCTATAATTCTACTCAATACATGTTCAGCTCTTCCACCCCACCCCTTCCCCCCTCTCCCAAAACTTTTACGGTGTGTTTGGATAAAGAAATGGGAAAGAAAAAAAGAGGAGGGAGGTGAAGGGGAGAGAAGAGAAAGGGAGGGAAGGGGAGGGAAAAAAAGATGAGTTTTCCTTCCAAATCTCTCCATTATTGGAGAGATCAATTTCTTACTATATAATCCCTCCATTTCTCTCTCCTTCAATTCTCTTCCTTATTTGTTATCCAAATGACAGATAATATATCCCCCCCATTTTCCTTCCCTTCCTTTCTCTTCATTTCCTTCAATCCAAACAAAGTGTTATACAACCTACCCTTTTTGGTGGAGAGACCTTCCAAAAAGAAAAGATTGCCTTTGAAAGCTATAAACTTATCTGCTGATGACAAACCTATTTCATATATTGGATATGAATCAGCTAAAAGATCAAAGCCTTAACGCCCTTCTATATTGTAGCTTGTTTCATAAAAACCAGCATCACTTGCAATGTTGAATGATACCGTAAGCTCACATGAGTCCATAAGAGTCGAGAATATTGTGACAATACAATGAATTTCTTTTCTTTCCTGAAACGTACAAGATCAAGCAGCATAAGATGATTTTAATAATGGCTTTTTCACAATGTCAGCATGCCATGCACTTCTTACTACATCTTTATCTTTGTATACATCACATCAGTGATTAGCCATCAAAACAAACACATGTTAGGTCCTAAAGAAGAATGAACTGTTACCACCTAGATTCATATTTGGGGTCTGATATACCTCCATTAAACATGCAAATAACCTTTCCATGCCCAGGAAAAAGGGTGGAGGAGGGAGCGATTATCAGAGAGATACTTTCCTTCGGCAGATCCGGGACATGGCAAGATGGTAAGGAATTGTAGATCTAGATCATGGAAACAGAGAGAAGAGAACAGACAAGTTCTGATTCTCGGAAAGATATTCTGACACTTGAAGACCAAAATATTACATACCGACTACTGTTACTAAGCCAAAATCTTGATTTACAAATCAAAACTTCTCTTTCAGAATCATAAGTTCGGTGAAAATTTATATAGTTCTACTGACTTTTCTGTGTGGCAAGCAATTTTTATATTGATTATGCATGGTATTATTTAGCTTCTGACTACCTACAGTGAACTAAATGTCAAATAAAAGTTAGTAAGCTTAAAGCACTTGTATTTTTCTCCCCTTTCACTCCTTTAACTTTCCAATTCCTCTGTTTTCCCTAAATCCCAAAGATGGTGAATCTAAGCTTCTTGTTACTTTCTAACAATATTATATGCATAGTACGCAAAGATCCCAGGAACAATGGTTTGGTATTTGATTGACTGCTTCATCAGGAACGTTGCTACCCTAATTACTTCAACTGGCTCTGTTTTAATTGGGAGTGGACAAATGGCTTTCTGAAAGATACAACTATGTACTAAAAAATTAGGGAAGAGGTAACTTTACATGGCAAAACTTCAGGAGGGACCAGCCCCAATGTTGACAGGATTTGTCCGGAAACTAGGTCGTAGAGTTCATTTTTTGAGGTCTGGAGGGGTTGGTCAAGTCTCGAAGGTAATCCTGTTGGGTGTTCTTCGATATAGTGAAGTGATTTGCACCGGGATTCACCGGGCCCGTATACTTGACGGGACAGCAATATCATTCATCGGGTCATATGTACTAGAGGAGATATGGTGCATCGGACGATAAGGACATAGAGGAGAAGGTTCACGATCTTCATGTGTCTCCTCTATGTCCTCATCGTTTGATGCACCATGTCCCCTCTAGTACACATGACCCGGCAAATGATACTGTTAACTCGTTAAACGCAGTGAATGCTTGTGCAAATCACCCAACAATATTGGAGACCTACATAGGAGTACCCTGGAGATCCTTCCAACCTCCCAAGAACGGGGCTGCTAACCAAAACTCATCTTGTCAACACGGTTGCCTCCTGAACACGAGACTGAAAACGAGAAGTATTTATCTTCCTCCTAACCAAAACATTAAAGCGTTGTGATATAGCATGACGATTTTTCACATACACACAATAACAAATAAATCTTAACTAGAATAAATAATTACCACATCTAAAACATAAAAGTCTCAAAACATTAAGGAGCCGTTTGACTAGGGGTATTCATCAAAGGGAAAGGGAATTAACTGCCTGATTCCCTTTGTTGTTGTTTGTTACGATTTTTTTTCCCATTTCCTTTACCCTCTCCATCCCCTCAAATCCTTTCAAGTTGATTCCTCACCCCACCAAGGTATTTCCATTTCCCTAGCCACCAACCCACAACCACCCTCCTACCTACACACACAACCGGAAACAATCCACAGCATCGTTGTTCCACTCGCCGACGCTTTACCACCCCTACCCCCGCAAACCTTTCCCTTCTCTAGGACCCGCAAAGCCCTAGAAACACTTCACCTTCCCGTAAAATTGTCATTTGCCCCTCCCCCAAACCTCGGAACCCACTAGGGTGTTAGGAGGGGTGAACGACAGTTTTACGTGGAAGGGGGAAGGGTTTCTAGGATTAAACTGTTACTGGCTGGGGGGGAAGTTTTTTGGGGGAGGGGAAAGTTTTGCAGGGAAGGGGTGGGGGAGAGGTGGCGAAGCACGACGAGTGGTGGGAGAGGTGCAGAAAATGGTGGGGTGGGGTAGCTCGGTGGTGGCTGGGAATGGTGGGAAGTGAAGGAAATAGGTTGTTGTGTGGTGATGGGACTTGTAGCTTGTTTCTCTTTGTTTTTTAAAACAAACAACATAGTGAATTTGAGGGATTTTCGTTCCATTCTCCTTTTTCTTTGTTCATTCCATTCTTAGTTTTAAAAAGCGCGCCTAGGCACAAGGCTCACTAAGGCACAACCTCTTCAGCTTTAGCTAATGTAGGCGCAGGAGCCTACAAAAGGCGCCTAGCCTAGTGCGCCTTTGCATGAGGCGCAATTACAGTGTTAGGCACTGAAATCAGTTTAAAATAAAAGGCATGTGCTTTGAGAAGGTAAATTAATACTGAAAAAAAAAATGAAAATTAAAAAACTTAAAAACAATCAAGGAGAGAGATTTACAAAAGATCCATAAATTACAAACCCTAAATTAAAGAGAGAGAGGTCAGAGAAGCCTCCTTGCAACCACCGGTCCAATCGTAGCCACCATCCGGGGAGTCCTTGCAGCTAGACTTAAACGATTTGGGGATTGAGGTTTGGGGGAGGGGCAAACGACGGTTTTACGGGATATTAATATAGGATCAGTAGGATTCTACCGCAAACCAATTCTATGGACGACCCAGATCCATCAGGTGTATAAGGATCGTAGAATCGTTATCAATCCTACCGATCCTATGGCGGATTCTACCGCAGACCGATTCTATGGACGATCCACATCGACTGGGTGTATTAGGATCATCGTGCCGGATCAGGATTTTGATAACTATGGGGATCGAGGTTTGGGGGAGAAGCAAATAACAGTTTTACGGGATATAAATATAAGCTTATTTAGTAAAACACACTTAATTCTACAAAATAAACTTATTAACTTTTATAGAAGTGACTCATTTGCAAAAGAAGGTAAATTAATATAGAATCGGTAGGATCGACAACGATTTATGATCCTATGGCCGATTCTACAAAATTGTTTATTAGTCCACTAAGATAAAAATGTTCCTTTTAAGCTTATTTTGTAGAATCGACAATAGGATCGTACAATCGTTATCGATCCTACCGATCCTATGGCCGATTCTACCGCAAACCAATTGTAAGGACGATCCAGATCGACTGGGTGTATTAGGATCGTACGGATCGTGATTTTGATAACTATGGCCTCGCGCCTTTTAAAACTAAGATTACGTTCTGTTTACCAGTGCAAACCAAAGGACCCCTAAGTAGTTTTCCCTCAGTCCTTTTATTAAAAAAAGCCTATTTGGGTTTTTCCACCAGAATTAAGGAAGTTCTAGATTCTTTGAAACTCATGATTGCAATTTGCATGTACATTTGTGATTATCAAAGCAAGCTCCGACATGATATTAAGGTTCGAGCTCCATACTTTTACATAAATTTTTAAATAAAGCAGTCGATTATTGAGACGGTTTACCTTCAAACATGGGAGTTGACTAGGAACCAGATAGTTTTGCTATTGTACTCGTCAAAATATTTGTTCTACATTCTAACAATTACTCTTCAGCAATCCAGTAAGCACAGAGATAAAGACAAACGCATGATAAAGAAAGCTTTTAGGTTGGGAGATGGGGGGAGGGTCAAAGTTTTAGCAGAATAGACGGCAAAACTATAGCAAAAAGATAGTCCCCCTCTCTTTTTTTCTTTTCCTTTTTTTTTTTGGTCCTACCCACATATTGCAAAACCTTGTTTACAAGTGAGTGTAAGAAAAAGGGGGATACTGTAAGAGAAATGAAGAATACAGGTGGGTGGGTGTAAGAAAAATGTGGATGAAGTAAGAGAGAGTGTGAAAGAAAGGATAAATATTGTGGGGTAAGATAGTAAAACTTTTTTGCCAAAGAATAAAGCAAAAGGGAGTGGAACACACACACAAAGAGTATTAATAAAAGGGGATATTCGGTACAGTACTCTTGAATTTTTCAATATTTCATTTGATTGACCAAATTATATTAGTTCGTATGGTAACCACTACTATACACAAAATGTCATGAGCTAAGAGTCTAATTCACTCCAATTCCAATATAGACAATCTTAAACACTTAACAAATAGTTGATCAAAATATTAGCTCTATTCTCTCTTGCTTTCTAACATTTTCCTCTCCTGTCGTCTATGGAAAGCATCACCAACCACATCAGAAGACACTGACATTGTAAATTGGTAACATGCACAGCAAGTCTCACAAATCCACACAGAGATACTAAGTGCTCAAACAGATAAACCAACACATGCCTCCTCTCTTTTAAGTTTCGAAGTTAAATTGAGTGTGTTCAAGAAAATAAAATTTTGATTAGGAGCATTATGGAAATTCAACTCACTTAGTCTAAATAAATAAAATTTACACAAAATCCTCTCAAAAAAAATAAATTAAATAAATAAACTAATAGTCAAAGAACTAAAGAAGTATTTCCAGAGCAAACCTAATACGTAAAGTTAATGTAGAAGCATGACACAGGAATTGAAGAGAATGAACATATTTCAGACATTAACAGTGAGGTACCCATTAAAAATTTCCAAAAAACAGAGATTACCACCTCATTATTTTAACTTCTTGGAAGAAGTCTTTAACCACATCTGTATTAATATGCCCAGACTTTAGAACCTTGATAGCAACTTCCTGATCACAGTATGTCCCTTTGTACCTGAAAAGGCCAACTCATACAATCATATAAAGTTCACGCCAATCATAGCACTGCTTTAAGATTTTGTCACAAGAAAACCTACAAATCACCGTGTGAGCCAGATCCCACTTTGTATCCTACTTTTAGAAGGCTCTGATCAATTTCAGCTTCATCAATTTTGTTTGTTGTTCCCTTTATGTTTTTAGGACCATATGGAACTGTTTCATGATGATGGTCACTAACAGCTTCCGACGAAAGGGGATCCTTCAGAAACAAAAAGGCTCTACATTAGCACTGTGATGCTGAGACGAAGACGCTTTAAAAACATCCTAAACAGGCACTTTCCATACAGGAACTTACGCCTTCATAAATTCTGAAAATAGAAAACAATCTTAAAGTTCCAATGATAGTGTTGCTACAGGATCTCTCAATCCAACAAAGTTGATATACGCTACAAGACCTATCACCATTGCATATAAGCAATCAAGTAAAGGACTTGTATGAATTTTAAAAACCAAAATGAAAATCAATTTTCTGTTATTACAAAACTATAAGCTAGAATATGAAAATGTCACCAAGCAGGCCCTACACTAACAATATCCTCAATCTGACTCAATCTCTACCACCTCCATCATTTAGCTTAAAATTTTACATTCCAATATTTCCAATCTTTAAACCAAAACAATATTAAACTGACAAAGCTGGTAAAATGCAGAAACCTGCAAAGTTGCATAATGATCATGTCCAAGTAGTAAAAAAATGTTCACTATATGGCATCAAGACAATGCAATCAAAAGGCAAGGTAGATGTTAACACCCCCACCAAGGATTTACCTTCATTTTTTGTATTTTATTGCCCAGTAAACTTCTAAGCTGCTCAGTTTCCTGATAATATAAAAACAAATGTTCAAAACGGCAGACTGAAGCTAGCCAGTTAAAGAAAAAAATACATGACATAGCAACAAGTCATTGCAATGGCTACGACCACCTCCCAAAATGATTTATTCAGATCCTAATATTTCATGTACTTGGATATCTTAAAAGTGCGTTGACAAAAACTTGTTCAAATGTTGAATTATAGAAAGGACATGCAGTAAAAACATGAGGACCCAAGTTCAATACCTATCTACAAAGCAAGGTCAGTTCAATCTCACTACATTTCTCCTCGCTTTTGAAAGTCATACTATAACCAAATTTGAATTCAGAGTCTCAGATAAACCTTTAGCACAACAGGGCATAAATAAAAAGTAAAACACACAACAAACTTGAGGTCTTGAGGATAAGGAGCTAATTGCTGCTCAAGGACTTACATAATATTTAAAAAAAAAAAAAAAAAAAGACCCAAAGAAGAAATGAGATATAAATGGTATATTGGAAGATAAACAAAATCTGGACCATGTTCCAAATTGCAAAATATAACTACGATCCCATAGTAGTTAATGCAGCCATAAAAGTAAACACCACGATGTGGCTTTGGGGGGAAAAAAAAAAAAAAAAAAAAAAAAAAAAAAAGTGCCCTACAACTCTACTGATCATACCTCATGCGGCCAACCATCAACCACAAAAACATCTAAAGAGTAGCCATCAACTGTGGAAAAGGCATGGGCCTCTTGAATGTTCAGGCTCATCTCAGATAATAAGGAAGTCAGCTGTAGGACAGAAAAACAACAAGGTTGACGTTTTTAATAAAACGACGAACATGTAGCCGTATTACGAAGCCAAATTGATTATTAAAATTCCAAATTACGTCAATGAGGCTTCAGGCACAGTTAAAAACTTCATATGTTGAACATTGCAATGTGAAAATACAATAGCTGTAATAAAAATCACCCCTGAAAACACAGCTTGTAATATTAAACTACCTGATTAAGGAGTTTTGGTTTGTCAATAGTAGAAAAGGTGATTTCATGCATTGCCCTGATCAATATTAATATGGAGAAACAGTAAGTAAAATGTGAAGAAATATAATGAGACTAAGGCATAAATATTCTGATAAGGACTATGTTATTATCAGAACACCTTACACATATTACCTTGTGGACTGCAAGATGGTAGCATTTACAAAGCTATCTTTATCCTCGACATCATATCTTACACCATGAGTCTCGAGACTTTGTAATGAACTGAATATAGGTGGTGGGTGCAGGCTGAGTGAGAGTCTACCACCATTACCACAAAATGTAGCATTAGTCAAATGAGTAGGTTTACCAAATAAGAAAAAAATCAGAGTTCAAGATGGTCACAAAGAGCAATACCCCAGACCAACAGAATTCTTGACAGAACCATGACTACCTTCATCCATAGAATGTGAGTCGAAAGAATCACCAAAATGTCCATTTGTAGTGAGATTGACCTGTATGATTTGAACAATCAAATAAGAATGCATCAAGATGCAATGGCCCTAAAGCCCTATATTGTTCATCACGTATCCACTTATTTCAAGAAAAATAAGTTTGGGTAAGATACCATCAGGATAGATAAGTTCTACAAAGGGTTAATAAGGGCTAACCAAATTCAATTTACCACTAAAAAAAGATATAATAAGGTACACCAGTTCAGTAAGACAAGTGTCAGGTCAATAGTACACATCCTAAATATTTACATAAGTCAAGGAATCATTACAAAAAAACTCTTCTGATCCTTCAATTGGAAGCACATGAGCCCCTAAAGCCACAGAACAATTGGTGCCTTGGTGGTCTTCTGAAGCACAGGTACTTCTAAAAAGACCCGTATCAGTATCGGATACGTTTTGGGTACAGCAACGATATGGGTACTCCTTGGGTACATCCTCAAAACATATCCTTAAAATGGGTACATTAACGAATTTGGGTATGGTCAACGCTTTTTTTGGGTACATTTCAGGAACATTTTGGCAAAAATTTAAGTACCCCTTTAAAAAAAAGGGACAAAAATACTAGTTAGGTTTTCGCTCTTTAGTTTGTTTTTCCAAAGTCCAACACATGTGGCTCTGCAGTTTTACCATACTTCCATGTCCAGCGGTCTTCTCCAAGTGTTTCTCTGGCATACTCCGCCAACTCTGTTAACTTCTCTATCCTCTCTCAATCTCTCACTCGTTTCTACTTCTTTTCTACACCATTTCTACCACTTTTCTCCAACGAGCTTCTCCGCCATAATCCTTTGAAACAGAAACCTATAAATGGATAATATTCTAAAATGGCCCTTTCTTATTCACCAATATGGTTATGGCCAGCCACACCACAACACAAATCCTCCCACAGCCGAGATTTGACAATCAAATCAAGCGTCCAATCAGGCAGCCTCTACAGTTACTGGTGTTTCTGATGAAGGTTTAATTCGAACCCATAGCCCATCTAGAATTCAAGATCTTTCTAAAAATAGATAAACCATGATTGAATTTGGCACCAAAATCACACTGATACTTCTAGTTACCATCAATAGGAATTAAATAAATAATCAAAAACCAATTAAAAATGGACTAGGTGTAAAATCACGATACTAATCCAAACGCATACTCCAATTTGGCACCGAAATCCCGAAGAATATATAGTTTGTTTTGAATTTGGAATAAAGTCATGACCACTGTTCTAACTTTGAAAAAAAAAAATCCCATATAAAAGTCAATTCAACAAACAGTTGTAGAATTCTTTCACCTGTACAACACGGACGTCGTAAGCAAATATATTAGGAGGCTCTTCCGCTTGACGCAATAATCTCAAATGCGTCAACACATCTTCCGCTCTCTCCACATTCACTTCCAATGCATATCTTACACCAAGAAAAAAAAATCAACAAATTATACGAAAACCTAGAAATCGAAGAATTTATGTCAAATTTAAGAACCTAAAAATTGAAGAAATGAATATAGATTGATTACCTAGCAGGAAGACGATTGAAGTGAGCCCAAAGCTGATCGTCAAACCCAGGAAGTTTAGCATCACAACAATCAGAATCTTGTAGCCTACGAAGAACATCATTAAACACTTCCAGCTTCAAATACTGATGATTTCTCGGCGTTTTCGGCGAAAAATGAAGCGGCCTACTGCTACAACTCTCAGTATCATCATCAATCGCCATTGACGAAGCTTCAAATCCTTCGAAAAATTCAAATTGTTCAAATTAGTGAGCTAAAATCAGTGTAACAAACACTGGAAAAAAAAAAACTAATTAATAAATTCTGGAATTGGAAAGGTTGATGATTCTAGAATTAGGGAAGGGAGAATCTGGGAAGAGGAGAGAGGGGAATCTAAGTAGGTGAAGGTGAGGGGATGATACTATGTGGGGGAGGAGAGAGAAAATGGGAGATGTCGTTTGCGAGAAGGGTGACGGAAGAATGGGTCCCATCCTTCGTGGCATGGATAGAAACAGTTCCACAATTACGTTGACATGGCCTATTCCACTTTCATTATGTTTGTAATTAAAATCAGTCTAGTCTTGGCTTATCCAAGGGATATTTGTTCGTGGTAGGCCAAACAAGTTACATCTGGTTGAATTCGTGTTTGTGTCCACTGTCCGACAGTGAACACCATACTCGTGTTTTAGTTGCTACTATCTCTATTTCGTAGTCTCTAATAATTACTGCTTTTCATTTCGCATTAATCGCAAAGTTTAGATTGGCTCAAAGTTTAAGAAAATCCGCGTTAAATAAAAATAAATAAACAAACCTAAACTCACAAAAGTTGAGGAATGAGGTTTTGGAGAAACATCGTTAACTGACTCTATAATTATAATATAGATTATAGACTACGCTTATAATATGAAGTATTGTTGGTAAGAAAAAGAAATAATAGTAAAAAAAAAAAAGTAGTGTATGTGGGGATGGTAAAAAAGAAACATACTCCCTCGGTTTTTTAATATTTGTTTTATTTCTCCATGCGCGGAGTTTTAGAAGAAATTGGATAAAGTAATAAAATATGGAGGTAGTGGGGTAGTTGAGAAAATAAAAAATTATAAAAAAACAAAAGTAGTGGAAGAATAGGAGGAGAGAGATTATTATGTTAGGTCCACTAAATCTGATAAATGAATTAAATATTGTAAAAGTTTTCCATAAAAGGAAATTGAGCAAGTATTTAAAAACGGCCGGAAAAGAAAAGTGGAGCAAGTATTTAAAAACGGGGGAAGTAATAAAAATATAAAATATTTGTAAAAGTGGGTTTAGTGGGAGTGAAGAAATACGTAGTATAAAATAATGGTGGGTCCCAACGGAGAGTACAATACTTTGTACTACATATTGCATAATACCTCATATGTTTTAAACGTAACACGCCTTCTTGAATATTGATACACAATTTAAGGAAAAGAATAAGTAATGTAAATAGACAAATAAATAAAATTAGGTTAAATCCCGTGTCATGCACGGTTATTTTAATTACTCTATGTTTTCTTTAGATAAATTAATTAGTACAATAAAAAATAGAAACTACTTGCAATAAGATAGATAAAAGCTTTGGTATCCTCTAAATTATGTTTTATGAAAAGGGGAGAAAATTCATAATTTTAATTAATTTCTACTCTCTATAAATACTCTATACTAATTTATTAGTTGATGTAGATGGATTTATTCATTACTTTACTATTTGGTTTACTAAAATGAAGAAAAAAACAATGGAGTTTTTTTCTTTTTTAAGGAAAAAAAAAAACAATTTGAACAATAAGAGTGTAGTCCATTTATGTAACTGAATTATGTTTTTAATAAATTCCTCAATTTATATAGTATAATGATTTCTAAAGAATATAAATCAAAATTTTTTTAAAATGTTTATTGATATTTAATCAGGAAAATTTCACATTTGCTACCAGGGAAAGCACTCGTGTTCACATTTGCTACCCCTTTAATTTTTTATTTTATATTACTACCACACAAACACACTAACTATTAAAATCACTACCACTTAACGGAATCCGTTAGGATTTCCGTTAAGTTTTTATTAAAAAAATTAAAAAATTAAAAAATTAAAAAAAAAAAATTAAAATTTAAAATTTAAAAAATTAATAAAACAAAAAATAAAAACCAGCCACCCAAAAAAAACCCTAGCCCTCCCCGTCAGCCACCTTCCCCCCTCCCCCTCCCCCTCCCCCTGCCGGCGGCCGGCGTCGGAATCGAACCCCTTCCCTTCCCCACCCAAAACCGACAACCTTAACCCTTATTTCCCTGCCCGAAACCACCCTAAACGAGTTTTAGGGTTTCGCGTAGGGTGGTTTTGGGTGGCAGGGAATTCCTTCGTCGCGGCCAGAAAAGGGAACGGGGGACAAAGAGGGGCTGAGATCGGGTTTTCGAGGGGAGAGGGGCTGGGATCGAGGGGGTTTTCTAGGGGAGAGAGGGGGCTGGGAACGCGACACCGGCGCCGACAGGGTGGGTGGTTAGAGTCGCAGGTCGGGGCTGCGAGAACAGGGAAAGGGGGTTCGTTGTGGTGGCTGGTCGGCAGCAAGAAAGTTGTTCGCTGGTGGCTGGTTTGATCGGAGTCACGGACGGTTGGCTGGACAATGAGTGGTGGCTGCGGTGGTTTGATGTTGAACAGCGGCGGTGGATTGACAGCTGGTGGGTGAGAAGAAGTGGTGGGTGGGAAGAAGTGGTGGTTGGACGGTTGTTGGATGGTGGTGACGGAAATAGTAACGGTGTCTGTTAAGTGGTAGTGATTTTTAAAAAACTCTGATTTAGGTGGTAGCAATTTAAAATAAAAAATTAAAGCGGTAGTAAATGTGAAGCAAGGTCCTTTTACTGGTAGCAAATGTGAAATTTTCCTATTTAATCAGGATTATGTTCATACAAAATATTCCACCAAAATTACATCTTCTTACAAAGTACTTCTTGTCATTTATTTCCTTGTTATTCTATTTGTTGATTGTGTATCAAGATAGAATTTCTTATATACACCCGGGTGTATTGTATACCCGGGTCATTTGCTCATATAATATATAATTGTAGAGTAAGTGAATGAGGAGCCTCCAAAACCTCATTCCTTAACTCTCATGCATTTTTTTTTTTAATAAAAATATAACTATCAATCCCACTACTATATTTTTATTTTTTTGTAATCCCTTTTTTAAAAAAATCAATAACTACCTATTCACTATTTTCTGTTTGTTTGTTTTTTTTTTGGTACGCAATATAACATATGACATACATTAGCACAAGTATACAATTCCTTTATCAACAATTCACTATATCACTCAAAATCCCCCAACATTTCATTTTTTTAAACATTACGTACTAACATTTAACTTTGTTTTATGAGTATTTTTTTTTTGGTACATAGAATAATATGTGTCATGCATTAGCACGAATATACATTTCCTTTATCAACAATTCACTATAGTACTCTAAATCCCCAACCCTTCAATTATATGCATTTTTTTGGGACTACCCTTTAAACATTTTCCACATCTTTAATCATCAAAAAAAAATGTACAACACGTTTTTGTGCAACTGGCTTCACTCTCATGCATTTAGTTAATTTTTTTTTTAAGAAAAAAATAATTACCAATCCTAGACCTGTTCAATGGGTTAGGGCCCATTTAAAGCCCTAGTCCAGCCCTTCTATAAAAGGATTTTACCTATCCAACATTTAAATGGGGCGGGCTTTTAAAGGGCTATTAAATAATGGGCTTTAAAGGGTTGGGTCTAAGTTAAAAAGAGCTGAAATTAGATAACCTTATGAGGCTTTTTTTATCTTAAATTTTCTTTTTATTTCTAAAACTTTCTAACGTTAGTTTCAAAAAAAAAAAAAAAAAAAAAAAAATCCCTTTAAAAATCCCCTATTTCCCCCAAATGATGAACCCTAAAAAAATTCCCAAATTCTAAATCTTCAATTTATCACCTTCTTGCTTGCCGCTCTCAATCGTTGATTCCGTCATATCACTTCAATTACCAAGGTATGTTGTTCGATTTCGCTCAATTCTTCTCGATCAGTTCTCGATCATATTCAAGTAGTACATTTTAATTTCCTTTTTTCAATTATTTTGATTTGTTTCATCTGGAATTTGTATGTTTTTGTGATTTTCATTATTAATGAGAAGATTAATGTAGTTTCCTATGCAACTTTCTCATTAAAATTGACTAATTTGATATATGATTGAGTCAAACTTTACCGTTATATGCAGTTCTACTAAGGATTGAATTTTATTCCATTGATTTGTTTTCTTACCTCGATTATGTCATCAGTTATTTAATTATAGTTCTAGTTCACTATAAAGGGAATTTTTTTGGCTACTTTTCTGATTTGGGTAGTTTTGGGTTCTCTGTTACTGTAATTTTACTGTTGTTTTGGGAAATTTGTTAGGGATGGAAATTTGTTAGGAATTACTGTTAGTTGTGGTAATTGATAAATGTTATACGATTTTAGTTTTCATGTTAATAATAATGGCAGTGGGTTAATAATTATTAATTACCTACTTTTGCAGTTTTTTTAACCATGGAAAGTGAAGCAACTACAACGTCAATGCCGGTAGATGATGAAGTTGATGAATCTAATGTCGCCTGTAAGCGTAAAAGAAGTAGGAAATCTAAAGGTTGGCGAGAAATGACGAAAGGAACAAATGCAAAAGGTGAGCGAATCGCTATTTGTAAGCATTGTAAAGTGGAGTTAATTGCCCACAATAATAGTGGCACATCTCATTTAATACGTCATTTGCTTGATGTGTGTAAAAGAACGAACTAAGGGACTTCCACTTGGGGAGGCGGTTGAGGATGAGGAAGAATTTGTTTTGATATGAGTGAATTAAGAAAAGAGATTTTATTATATGTTGTTGAAGGTTCTCATTCTTTTTCGACCGTAAAAGAAAAAGGTTTTAGGCGGATGATGTTAAAGGCTAATTCTAAATTTAAGCCATTTAGTCGAGCAACTTTAACTAGAGACCTTTTTTATTTATATGCCTCTTATAGAGAGAAAATAAAAAAAATTTGAGGAATGCACCCGGACGAATATGTTTGACAACTGATAATTGAAAATCATCACATACTTGGCAACATTACATTTGCATAACCACCCATTTTATTGATCATGATTGGAAACTTCATAAAAGGATTATTAAGTTCACATCATTGTCACCCCCTTTTGATGGACAAAGCATCTCCGAAGAAATTTTATGTTTCTTAATCAATGACATTTAGATGACAAAGTGCTTAGCTTAACGGTTGACAATGCAAGTTACAATGATGTGATGGTTAAGCACATGAAAAATCGTCTTGAGTCAAGGGGTATGTTGGTTAGTGGTGGTTGTTTTTTTCATATAAGATGTTGTGCTCATATCATCAACCTTATTGTCCAATCTGGTCTATCTTGTATTGAGAACATATTAGATAAGATTAGAAACTTGGTAAAATTTGTTACAAGATCATTTTATAGAAGCA